AGCAAGCAAGCAAGCAAGAAAGCAAGCAAGCAAGCAAGCAAACAAACAAACAAAGAAGCAAACAAACAAACAAACAAACACAAATGCGCACCTAAATAGAAAGCTGTTTGAACGATATCAGTCGCTGGAACTTTGCTCTTCTGCTGGAAAGCTGCCCGCACAAGTTGGGCTTTGCGGCGTTTCCCAGTATTCATAGAGTTTTCAGGTTTATTCATCCCAGCTGGCGCCTGGCGGAGATTTATGTCCATCCACATGATTATGTGTTCTAACAGGTGGACCCCCCCAAAAAATAGTGCTTCTTTTTTCCTACGAAGGGGTATCTCGGAGGAAATCAGACCCATATTGGCTGTGCATACATAAAATACATATACCAGACTGACAGACATGTAGTTCATGACGGTGCGTGTGTGTGTGTGACCTTTACACATACATATGTACATATAAAATGAAATGTGTATACATATTATATCTATATATATATATATATGAGTATCGGTCGCTTGAACTGTTGCGCAGGTTCACGTGGTGGGCATCGTGGAGCTGCCCAAGCCGCGGACCTTGCCGGCAGACATGCGCCTGTGGCTGGACGAAGCGGGGGCCCAAGGTAGGCCGGTGATGTACGTCTCGAGGCTCGGCCGAAAAAAGCGGAGAGCGAGCAGCGAGCAGCGCTGCGTATGCCGTTTTTCCTCGTTTTTTGGGTGGCTCCCAGCCATCCGGTTCCTTGTGGTTTGGTTTGGTTTGAAAGATTTTTGGTTGGTTTAGTGGTAGTTTCCACTAAGCCGCTAAAAGCTAGACTGTTAGCAGGGGATCTGGGAACAGCAGAGTTTTGAAAGCTCAAAGAGTGGCAGTTTCGGAAACCACCAGTCACCCTGGACTTGTGCCTGATCAAGCCAAGAAGCTTGCCAAGTGATTTATATACTAGGCGCAGTGTACTTCGCCACGAAAGCCATTACCGCTCAGCTAATGCAAACTACAATGACACCACCCGGGAATGGCCGCATACTGATTCGGAGCCATAGCACGGGACGCCATGCAGCGACTATCAGGGACTATTAGCGAACACCATAAACAAACATAAACAGTCATCATTCCCCATGGCTCCCCCCTGCTGTGGCTTTGAACTTTGCAACGGAAGCTCACTTGACTTTGGTCCACACGGTGATGTTTGAAGCCACGCAAAAAGCAGCATGGGAGAACCCTGTGGTAACCTGGGTTATAATCAGCCTTTTGGGGTCACTTACAGTGTTACAACCATGTGGTTTACAGCCTTACTAAGTACACTGCCCCCAAAATTGGAGATCCTGTTGTGCCGGAGTTTGGGTCAACTGTGTTTGGCTGAATGATGTGCCCCTTTGAAGCTACTTGGTCCGAAGCCGACATTTGTTTTCACAATTTGGTTTAGGGCTTTCACTGCCTGACCCCTAAATATTTTAGCTTTGTCCGCCCGGAACGGGGCAGAAACCTTCCCGAGAGGGAACAAGGGTTGGTGCATACCTGTGTGACAGCTTTCCTGCCCGCTTTTTGCAAGCCCCAATTTGATTCCGACCATGCGTTCACACGCATGGCCCGCTGAAGTAAACATACTGACCGCGTTTCAAATGCCATTGGTCCGATTGTCTCGTCAACTGAAGGTAATCCGCTTACCCTCCAACCGTGCCCAAAGTGAGACGTGGAGTACTTGGACCCTTCGAGCATCCGGCCAGCGGATCCGAAAGGTCATGTCAATTGAAGGTTGCCCTTGTCCCTAAATAGGGGCTTCACCCAAGTCCCTTTTGATTTGGGTCGAAAGACGGTCACCCATCGAAATGGTTCCCACAAGTCTTGTTTTCATCCAAGCTGAAAAGGTTTGGGTCTCTCAAAGTTCCCTTGCTGGAGGGTTCCAGTGGACCGGTTTTCCTTTTGGGAGGCGGACCCCCCCCCCAAGTTGGGCTTCGGTTTTCCTTTTGGTTTCCCTTTAGTCACAAGCAAGGCCAGCCACCAACCCGAGCCACCCAAAAAACCGGAAGTCAAGGATGGGCACCAAGTACGAGCTGACGGAAGAGGTCTTCCAAAAGCTCCTGGCGCAACTCGAGCGTTTGGCCAAGGAGAAGGAGAGAAGCAAACGCCGCCCCCGATGACAACCGAATTCTCGCAGATTTGGGGGTTGGAGCAAAACCTCACTCCTTGCGCCCTGAGTTCCTGGACTTCAAAAGCACTTTATTTTTTTGGACGACCATGACAAAAAGCTTGGACTTTTTTGGGCTCACAGATTCGATCTGTCCGGAAACCACAGCAAGGCAGGAGTCGGCCGATGGATTGATGCTTAGTGGTTCCATCGCAAGCCCGTCCAGTCCAAGTCGACCCCACCCCAAACAGACTAGGCCTCAAAGCCAAAGTCCCCAAGACCTGCGGTAGTTGTCAAGGGTCCAGGTGCCAGATGCCAAGACCCCTTCGAAAGAAAATCCGATTGAGATAGTACGGGGCAACATGAACTCTACTTCCAATAGTTTACCAGTTTACCCCATTTATAAACTTGACATTTGGTGTTCAAGCACAACATCCCATGGCACCCAAACAAACAGGCCCCCGGTCCCGCGAGGACTTGGCAGTGCTATGGTCCCTGCGCGAGTCCCAGCAGAAGGAGCTGACACTTCCGCCGCAGAATGCCCACCTGCGGTTTGAGGCACGAACTTCTTGGGGCGCGTCAGAGTTCAAAAGCTGAAAAAGTGGTTGGTGGACATGAATACTGATGTCCGCCAGTTTTGGTCCGGGACTTAGAATTCCAGCCAATCGACTCCGATCCCGGTGTGTGCCACGTATGTCGACTTCCGCTTCCGTGGCTTCCGTGGCTTCAGGCCTTTACGCCCCAGCCGGAAGTCTTGGCGCACGGCGCGGTGAAGATCTTCCTGTCGCACTGCGGCTGGGGAGGGCTCACGGCCTCTCGGAGCTCTCGGCTCGGCGAAAACTTTTTCGGAGGGCTCTGCCGTGTTTTTGTTTCTTGAGTTTTGGGGATTACTTGTTTTCTTCGATTCCTACAAGGAATCGGGGCCGTGGGGAGCTCAACCTCCCAGGAGCACGCTTTTGGCAAGCTGAAAGTGGGCTGAGGTCAGCAAACGAAAAAGGGCTCATTGAGTTGCTTGTCTCATCTTGCGATTCGTTTCGGGGTGTCATGTTTTAGGGGTCCCCTGAAAAAGGTGGCTTTCCACGTTCTCCTTTTGGTTTCCCTAAAACACACCAAACAAGGGGCAACTCCCACACAACGCGCCACCCCATTTGTTCGGATCCCCGCCGGCCGTGTGAGGAGATAGGCCGGGAGGACCCAGTTTCTCTGTACGCGTCGTTTTTGTTGCACTGGAAGGATGCATCCAGAACCAATCGAAAGCCATGGCAATACCTGAGGTCTCAACTAGGATTTGTACATCTAGATGGGGGGGGGGTGGACGCGATTTTCCATTTTTGGACCTCTTTTTGGCAAAGCAACCCACTCCGGCGTCAGTTTTCGAGCCTCCCACTTGGCCCGATCGCTGTCACAAGTTTGGCTTTGGCAACTTAAGTTGCTTGTCAGAAGCAACATCTCAAACCAGCGAAAAAATCGATGACTTCTTGAAGGTTGAATTGCGGCAATTTGAGAAGTAGGAAACACCTCGGGCCCCAAAGTTGCTAGAAACCGAGCAGAATGCGTGTCCTCGGGATTTTGTTTGGGTGCAGCACGAATTTCTTAAAGGGTATGTTGGTTTCCCTTTTTGCAGCCGCCCCCAAAAGGTTGCCCTAAAAAGACACACACACATAGTTGCATGCATACATACATTGAATTGCATTACATTACATGACATTACATTTTATTAAATTATAGTATAGTAGACTACAGTTACATCACATCACATCACACTTGCACATTTGCACACTTGCACGTATGCATATATACATATATACACATACATATATATATATATACATATAAACTATATATACCTATATGTGTATGCATCAGTGGCTGGGCGCTGAGGACTCCCTGAGCGCGGGCGTGCCGATTTTGGCGTACCCGGCCTTCGCGGAGCAGAAGGGCAACGCCCGGCAGCTCGAGGACTTCCGGGCGGCGAGGCTGCTGGAGGTGGGCTTCGAGAACCTGCCCGAGGCGACTCGGGGCGGCCGGGCTCGGGGGGATGGGATGGGTGGGGGGGGGGAGGGGGGGGGGTTGGTTTGGGGAGGGGGGGGGGGCGGGTCCAGGTGGGGGGTGGGGGGTTTCTTGTGGGTGTGGGTAATGTGAATGGGGTGCCCTGTCCTTGATGGAACCCGGGAGGTTTTCCTTGATATGAGTGTGGTGGGCAAGAATGGGGTGACCCCAAATACCCTGGCAAATGGAAACTGAAGCACTAAACTCCGCGGTTTGTTGTTGGTGTAATTTTGACCCATACCGGACCGAGAGCTGTTGATTCCCTACTTTATATATCCCTTTGGGCGTTTTCAAGTACATCGGTTGTTGGCTGTTCGTGTAAAGTCACTGAGTTTTTGGTGGTGGGAGCTCAAGCCAAGATGTAGGTCCTGTATGGAGGCCTTATTTCAGGTTTTGGAGTTGCACATTTTGCCGAATGACCAACATGTAGTGACGTAATTCCAATTCGCAATACACACGTCGAGTCAGGCTCAGTTTTCCAAAAAAATCAGTTTTTCAGTTGGGGACGACCTTGAACTGAACCATCCCTTTCGTGCGCCTGTTTGTGGTTCATTCTGACAACTGTTAATTCCCTACCGAGAACCAGCAGGGTGTTTGGGGGTGGGGGCTGGGAGGTTTGGGTTGAGAGAAAGACGTACAAGTTGGCTCAACCCCAGCGATCGCATCTGAGGCGGCCAGCAGCTTGCTGGAGGAGAGACGCGGAGTGGGCGGAAACGATTATCTCAGCTCGGAGTTCCTGCACTTTATGCTTTTCGGGACAAACACATGGTGGCAAAAAGCAGGTTTGGTGAGTGGACTGCTTTTAGCCAATCCACTCAGGAAGCGAGCCATCCAAGGTGCTTTACCATTGTTTTTGCATACTTTGTATTGGAGGGTCAATAGCACGCCCTATGAACTCTCAAATAGTCAGACATGTCGACTATGGCTTGGCAGGGCTTGTCAGACAAGCTCGAGCACTGAGCCTTTCCAGTCGCACACTCGCCTGAAGCTTCTGTGGTGGAGCTTGAGAGTCGTTTCAGGACAAGATCCGATGTCTTTGGACAGACGGGATTTTGCCAGCAACTGATGACTAAAGGGATCCTTCTTTCTAGAAAAAGATCTCTGGACAGGCTGTTTTTGACAGGAACGACGGTTGAAAACACTTGTTGGAATCAACCCCCAGAAATTGAGAAGCGCGTTTGCGACTTTGGCGAATCTCAATGCCTCCGATTGGATCGGAGTGTCCCTTTGGGCTGACGGTTTCATCCTCCACTCTTGCCACTTTTTGGAGTTGCGATTTCACGGGGTTCGTTTGCGCAACCCGGATGCTTCGATCAGTTTTGTTTGCCGTGCTTTCTTTGCACTGATTCGACTTTCCCGCTTTTCCGCTGTCAGATCCCAAGCCACGACGCGAAGATGTGATAGTCGGACAGGACGACCCGTCTGGTGCAACTGGCTGGGATAAGGCAAGAGCATCAGTAGAGAGACGGTTTTCATGAGGTTGCTTCCCAAGGTTCCCAACGAGTCCAGAAGGAAAAAAGAAGCTTCCATCGAGAGAGGCAAGATCGAGTTTCGTGTTATTGCTCTCACTATTTTCAAATTCAGCATATACTAGTCATGGACATTTCTGTCAAAGGAATGTTAACCCCGGATTATACCCCTGGTGCATTAATAAGGGTGTGTCCCCGAACTTCTAGTGACAGTGCATACGGATGGGTTCTACTTATATCGGGGGTTCCCAGTAGGTTTCTCTGAACCTGCAGTGCCCTTCTGCTCGAAGACCAACAGGGTTGGATCCCATTGCTGACTTTGGGACCCTTTGTTAGGACCCTTGGCGCAGAGGGCCTAAGTCTTGATACTGAACAGCGATACAGTAACAAACACCTGACTAAGAAGTACATGTCAAGCCGCGAGGATTCTTTTTGTGGCCCCTCTTGAGTCTTGAGCCCCCTCTTCCGTGTTTTGTGACAACCTGTTTTCCTCTATTTTGGAGCCCAGCATTGTGGTTTTGGTAGCCCCGGCCAGGAGCCCAGCTACAGTCGCAGGGCCAAAGAAGCAGGGGAGCTTCTACGGAGCTTCGGGGGCCTCGAGAGGACGGACCGTCGTCTCGCTTCGGTCCATTGGGCGATGTGCGGATGGGTGAATGTGAACTTCGGATGAATCCAGGGGACGCTATGAAGCATTTTTAGCGGAACCTGGGATTCCTGTTTGGGGAGCCTCGTTTAGTTTGCAGCGGGGAAGTAATCCGGAGTCGACGTTGTGCACTTTGGGTAGGGGTTTTGGGCTGTCCCTTGGCTGACCGATGACCCCGAGTCCCAAGCCCCAATGAAAAGCTGAAGCTTTTGGAGTCTAATCTGCTCCCCCTATTATTAAATACGCCCCCCCCCCCCCCTATTATAAATAAATCCACACAAAAAATATATATATTTTTTAAATTGGGGTTTTTGGGGTTGTTTTTTTTTGCTTTTCCAACAATGTGAGGGTTCACATAGGATTTGGAGGAAATGGATTGAATTGTAAGGTCCGCGAGTAAGCGGTTAAATAAGGAAATTTGATGTATCATTCTATTTGTTTACCAGTTTACTGGTTGTTTGTTTGCAGCCAGGCAGGTTAATTAGCCAGCATGTACGGGAGAGAGACAGTGGCAGCTAGACAGCTTTTGGGGACATGTTTTCTTTTGAGGGACACCCCAATAACTAAAGGAACCCACCTTTCGAAAAGTGAGGCTGGAAGCTTGCTAAAAGTGCCCCCTAATAAGGATTCCAACACTTTAGTATTGGTTTAGTATTGGCGCAATGGAAAATCAATTGTGCGGAGTGGAAATCTGGTCTCGGGCCCCGGATTTGCATTTATTATTAATGGGGGTCATTCATTAATAGGGGGAGGAGATTACCGTTTGAAAGCAAGTTGCTGCTGACATATGGCGATCCACAGATGGGTTTCCAATGTTGATCAACAGGTTTCGGACCTTTGGCATGTGTTTTCTTCGGGTCTCAGTGAAAAAAGACGCGGAGTTTTCATATCAAAAGGGTCCTTTACATGGGGTGACTCTTGGGGAAACCACCAAAAAGATGACTCGACTTCACCATGGGATTTTTTTTCTGATGGTCCTTGTGGGGCCGAAGGGAGGATTCATCAACCCCCCAAGCTTCGAACGGAGCCGATGTCTTGGCACCCGAGGACCTTGGACTTGGCAGAGGCGGCAGTGGAAAAGAGGCAGGGCCGTCCAATTGCAACCCGTGCTTGTTTGTTTGTTTGCTTGCTTGCTTGTGTTTTGTTCGTGTGTCTTGCTTGTGTGTCTATGTGATTTTTGGGTTCGCTGGCTGGCTGGCTGGCTTGCTTGCGTGCGTGCTTCCCATACCAAATGGTGCTTCCCAGAACAACCACCATTTTGGTGATTCCCATATAAAAGGCACAACCGTATCAACTATCATCTGCTTTTAAAGTGAATGACATAGGTAGATTCACTGTGTTGCTGAAAGGACGTGAGGTTACTCGCCGAATTCCCGGGTTTGGGGACACAATGAGCAGTGAGCGAACTGCCAGTTGCACGGCGAGAGAGAAAGTGGCAACGCCTTCTGACTCCCTTTGAAACGCTTCCGTGGAGTGTGCTTCGATCATCATGGGGCTGGGGGTAGGGAGGGGAGGGGGAGGGAGCCCAAATAAGGCCTTATTACGGGCTTGTGCACCTGACTGTTTGTTGGTTGAAGGAGGTTCTAAGCCCACCTGACCAACACTGTGGGGGAAAGCCGTGGCTCAGGGCCACTTTTTTGAGAGTAAAATTCGACGTACACTTCCGTGGCAATGTGTCAGAACGAACAGGGACAGGGACCCCAACTTGTACTTTAGTGCCGAGCCTCAACAACACACACACACACACCCATGTACTTTGACTCTGATGCATTTCGGGTTTACACAGTTTACACAGGAGAGTAGAAAACAAAGCCATCTGCCATCCGAGTCTCGTCCGAGAAAACACAACCGCGGCAGGTTCCTGGACCCTCTGCCAGCGCAGCAGGCGATGGATCAGGCAGGGCTTCAGAGTGCCAGCTTTGACTCCTACGGGATGTACTTTCGCGCTGGGTAGCAACCATGTGGGTGTCCCTGTTTTGGGGAATCCCCAAAATGGCTTTAGTTGTTCGTTCGGTTTTTCTTTAACATCACCAAACATGGAGTACCCATATTTTAATTTGCCGAAAGGGACACCAGGCGGTGGGCAATTGGTTCACATTGTTTGGACACTTGGGGGGGGGGGGTGCATATATACAGACATGTATGTATATATGCTGCACACATGTGTGTGTGTGTGTGTGTGTGTGCCTGTGTGTGTGTGTTTGTGTGTGTGTGTGTGTGTGTGTGTGTGTGTGTGTGTGTGTGTGTGTGTGTGTGTCTGTGTCTGTGTCTGTGTCTGTGTCTGTGTCTGTGTCTGTCTGCGTCTGCGTCGTCGTCGTCTGCGTCTGCGTCTGTCGTCTGCGTCTGCGTCTGCGTCTGCGTCTGCGTCTGCGTCTGCGTCTGCGTCTGCGTCTGCGTCTGCGTCTGCGTCTGCGTCTGCGTCTGCGTCCGCGTCCGCGTCCGCGTCCGCGTCCGCGTCCCCGCGTCCCCGTGTCCCCGTGTCCCTGTGTCCCCGTGTCCCCGTGTCCCCGTGTCCCCGTGTCCCCGTGTCCCCGTGTCCCCGTGTGTCCGTGTCTGTGTCTGTGTCTGTGTCTGTGTCTGTGTCTGTGTCTGTGTCTGTGTCTGTGTCTGTGTGTGAGAGTGTGATTGTGAGAGTGTGATTGTGAGTGAGTGTGTGTGTGCGCGCGTGCATGTAGTGTTTTTAACCGAACCCAATTTTGTCAAGGGTGTAGCACGGATTGCTCATCGGGTTGGTTTTTAACGGGGCTTCATGGCGAGGTGGACCCCTTTTTGCTGAAGATGCACGAGGTGGACATCGCTGGGGCCCAAGGCCCCCCCCACCCCGCCCTGCGACTGCGACATAGCTGTTCTTTTCGGGGCCCCTCTTTTGGGGCTCTGAGGGAGAATTCAGAGCCAAACTGCCGTGGTCCAGAAAGAGCACGCCACAGAGCTTCTAATTCCATTGGAACATCTGAAGGTGAAGATCAGCTGGTTGGAGCAGCTCAAAGTTGGCTTTGTTTTGGACTAGCAAGTTGGGTCACAGCTGACTTTGTATGCACCCCGCGTGATAGAATTGCTGGGGAGAACCATGGAGAACCTCTTGTCTCGATCCGGAATGGTGCAGAATGTTACCAGTGTCCCAGCTGTAGTTTTGAGGTTTGGTCTGACCAAACTGGCCTTGCCTAATGGGTTCAAGATAGGGTGACGCCAAAATGGACATGGGTTTTCCCTAGAGTACCGAGCCTCAAGTTCGCCCACACTCACACCTCAGTTCTGACCGTGGTTAAACCAGAGTAAGGTTAACCTCCAAGATGGCGTCTTATTCCTGGGATGCGGCTGCTTCGGCTAGCGCGTTGGTGATTACTGAGTGTCGGCATTTGGGTGTTTCTCATAGCGGAAGCCGCAATGGTTTGTTTCCTTTCGGTTTCACCCCCAAAACGGGGCCCACCATGTTGAGAAGCCCCTTGGCTATCGGAGCCTGAAGCGGGACTCGCCTTGTGCCCCTCCGCCATAGATAGCAGCCCCTTCCTTTGCAAACTCCAAGAGGGGAACCCAAACCTTTGGACACCGGGCCCATTGGATGAAGTCTGTGTTGGGCTTATCGTTTGCTCCACTCTGGTGTGAAAAACCACGCCATTGTCCAGACTGGACAAAAATCCAGTCTGTGAAATTCTCGTGGGCGAGCCAGTGCAAACCATGCGACACAACAATCAACCAAGTTGAAGCTGGAATTGTCCAAGAGATTTGGGGGGGAGCGAGCCTTCTGCCTTTAGAGACAACTCCCCGATGGGTCAGAGAGGTGCTCAGCACGGCCTTTGCGTGCTTCTGCTTCCTGGTGGTTTTGTGCATCTTCACCTGCTGTGGCCTGGCCTTACCTGAGAGAGGTTCCGGTTTGATTTTTTTGGGTTCCCCAGCGACAGGTTTCCAACTGGTGGATTGGGAGAAGCCACTTTGCAAAACCAAGGGAAGCAACCAAGTTTCTGATGTTCTGGGGAGGAAAAGTATGGGAAAGTCTCATTTTCTCCGCGCGCCAGGTGATTTTGTTGGTGTATCCAGTGTATCCTTCAAAAAGGACGCTGAGGGACGTCCTCTCTCTGGCTGACTGGGCGCCATGCCCAAAGAGCGGCGTGAACTTTTTCCCGCGCATCCGAGGCTGTCGCGCATGCTGTTGGCTCCTCGGCATAGGAATACCGCCCAAATGTTGAAACGGTCTCATCAGAAAATATGTTGCATGGCTATGAATTTTGTACGTGAATACCCACCCAAATGACATCCACCAAAGGCCACATGAGGTTCGGTCCACATTACCAGTATTTTATCCCCCAGACAAACACTGGGAAACTCACTCATGGTTTATTGGCTTTCACAAAGTTGACAAAACATGACGCCGATGTCTAGTGTACCCCATGGCCCAAGTCTTCAACTTGATCTATGACGAGCGAACACCGATCGGAGGGTCGGTGTCCGAGCGAAAACCTATTGTAAAAGGTGCGGATAGGGGTTCCTTCTTTCCCGTTTGGGAATTTATGGCAATTAGTTTGCCCAGACGGCAGGTTGTCAAACTGAAACCCGTTTGTTGTCCAATCATTTGGCCAACCCTTCCAAGGATGTGAAGCACTTTTCAAGGAAATAGATGGGAAGTGACTCATTGAGGGGTTTGGGTCATTGCATCTCCTAGCCAGACATGGCCTCTTGCATTCAGACGTAGTGTAGAGTGGAAAAAATGACTCAAGACTGGGCTTGACGCTGCTTCAACCCAGAAAGAGAAGGCACTCGTTTGCAACATGCCACCCTGCCAATTGCTCGTGTCAGCTTAGTAGATTTCTCTTTTTCGAACTGTTTCTGCTGGAATTTCTACGCTCTTTTGAAGCGGGTTGCAGGAAAGGGGGTGGTTTGCCCATTTCAGTAATTTTCTAATATATCGTTGCCAATACCCCAAGTGATCGTGCTTGTTTGCTCCTTTCAGTGCTGATGTCACTCTGAGTTGGTGAAAATTGATCAAACCTGAATGGGAAGGCCAGTGGGACAGCTTCAGTTGTTTCCCCCACGAAAGCAGCAAGAATAGAAGTGTCGGCTGGCTCATCGTCAGGACATAGAAGAGTTTCCAGGGTATCATTTTCCCAAAACAGGCAAGCAGAGGTCCGTGACGGCTTGTTTCCCTTATAAGTCATAGAAGCCTCAAAATTGGGATGGAAACTCTTGATGTTTTTTTGGTCCTTGGAGCGTGACACCATAGAATTTGCCAGAGCCTGGGTTTGGCTGGCGGTAATTGATGCAGGCTGCTCGAGGGTTCGTCGTTTGTTAATGCCCGTGAACGCTTGTGATGTTATGGCAGTTCCGTGCCTAATATGTTCAAGCGGGACAGGCACAAGCACTCGCACTATTGAGAACATGCCCAAAAACAAATGACCCAAACTGCTGTACTAGGTCCTTTAGTAGTGCCCTTTTACCATGTTGGAGGGTTCCCTACTAAAATAGACTACAGAAAAAAGGGTACCCTTATTCTAAACTCTCTAAGTCTACTGGAGTACCTAGTGTACGTTGTAAACTCGGCCGAAATTCTGAGAGAGGGCCAATCAAAGCATAGATGGCCAGGAGTGGAACGCATAGGAATCATATTTTTGCCGCCATCAGTCTAAGCAGTGATTGGATCTAATTGCCCCATTGCTTGTTCCCTACACAGAGCAAAAAGAAGGCAAGTCGCCCTGCAAAAGCGCCAGCTGGATGCTACATGGTTGTTAGAGTTAGGGCTCCTTGGATCCTGGTGACCATTTTTGTTCCGGGAGGGCCGATTCTTCACCTGTTTCTGTTCCCCTCGCTCAGGTGCTGCTGCCGCTGGTCGGGTTCCAAGCCGAAAAAAGAGAGGAAGCAGCAGAAGGAGCGGCGTCTCCTCGCCCCAAAGCCGACCCTTTGGCCTGGTTCTTGTTTTTGGTCCACTTTGAGTTACCCAAAAAGCGATTCTGTTCTCCGGTCCTTTTGTCAAATCTCCGTTTTCTCGTTTTTCCAGGTGTCCCAAAGACAAACCAAAGGAACCAGTTGCAGGGGTCCCGCTGAAAAAAGAACCAGCTGGTTTCCTCTCAGCGGAACAAGCAACAAGTGCTTTTCCCCACCCCCTCCTTCAGCTTTCTCAATGGGGACCTTCAGCTTTCTTTTCCGGGACACCAAACGGAACTTCGCATTTTTCGGGAACTGTGTTGAGACGCCTCCCCCCCTGGCCCCGGCTGCCCAAAAGGACATGGCCAAGAAAGAGCTGTGAGCTGCGTTCGGAAGGGCGCGTTCGTCACGCGGGGTTTCCAAGATTTCCCTTCCCGGTTCAAACATCACCTCAAGTGAGTCGGTCTCCTGAACGGCTTGAATACCGCCAAGCCGGGGTCCGAAAGCCTTTTGTCAGGATCCCAGGTTTGAACAGGTGCTGGGACGTAAAGTTTCGGGGAGCCCGTCGTCGACGGCCATTTGCGAGGGCCATTTGCGAGGCCTACGGAGGCACCTCTTGGCACCATCCCCTTCATGGAATTGGGGGTGGGGATGAATTTAGGAGGATCTTCGTCAATGGCAACCCATTTTCCAAGTGAAGACGGGCAAAATGGAATCGGGGGGATCCCCACCCCCTTTGGCCTGTACAGAAGGCTACTCATTTCAAGGGACAAGCCGACAAGCCTACTATTGTCACGGTTCACTGTGCCGCTGGATCTATCTCAGAACCGATAAGGACATTTCGAGTGATGGATGTTGAGGAAGTGCAGGATGTGTCTTGGTGATATTATATCCTGATCTCTATCCGGTCGCAAGCATTTGCGTGGATAAATGTAGCTACTGGGGCTAAGAAGAGCCTTGAGCCCAAATGTCGGAGATATATACATGGTTGCAAACCGAGAACACCCCCCTTTCTATGATAGGGGGATGGGCAATTCACTCAGGGAGCGCTGTTGAAAACCCCTTAGCTTCTTAACTTTTAAGCCTGTTCTCGGGACCCGTGCAGATAGGGCCGACCCCGAGGCAGTTCCCGTTTCGCATCCCTCCAGAGGGGTTTCGAATCACCTTCCGCGGGGCCTGGAAATGGCCTTGGGAACCAGAGGTCAAATACATCATAGCGAACTAGCAAAGCTCTTTATTTTTGCACAAGCGAACTGTAACTAGCCACCACTTCCGGAGGCAGATACTTGAGTGTTGCTCCGGTCAGAAGGATACGGACAGTTTGGCTAGACCCGCTTTTACTACACAGTCCATAGCCCTCAAATTCCGCCACTCAACGATTCAATGACCGTTTCCTCCACAAACTGGCCGAACTGGCCAGGAGCGGCTGGATGGCCTGTTGCAAGGCAGCTTCAACCCTGTGTCTTTGGAACAGTCTGGTTTGTAGGTCATTCCATTTTTTTGTGTCTTGCTCGGTAGCAAGGAGCCTCCATAGGTGTTTCAGAATAGATGTTGGGTGGAGCCTAGCGCTTATTCCACGCGTTCCCTAAAGAGGTTTGCCTTCAAGGTAACCGCGAAAGGCTGCTTCCTCCAATAAACACACAATATTGCGGGTCGACGAAATCCTGCGCCACATGGGATAGATGAACTCTATAAATAATGGGACAAGCCGCCCACCAACCGGTCTTTTAGCGGATTTGTCCATCCACATGATCCAAATGGCAGGCCCCTAGCGAAAAGGTTTTGGGCAATCTTTGAGACATGCGAACCTGGTTCCCGCCTTTCTGGTCGTTTCCACCCGGGTCCGAAGGCGCAGACAGAAAAAGTCGCGCGGCGCATGGGATCTGAGGGGGGGTGACATTGAGGCTGGGAGGTGCCTTGAGTCAAGGTGGGGGGAGCCCACCAAAGTGGTTTGCTTTTGCTCTTCCTTTTCTACCCGAAAAGGGGTACCCTCTGAAACACACACACACACACTCCCACACCCTCGCGCGTTTGTGAGAGGAGTCCAGCATCTCACAGGAGTGCATTGGCAGAAGCTCGGGCATTGTTTGATACACTCAGCTGATTCCTGTGAAGCAAGATAGTATGGGTGCTCAAAATAGGGCAACACCCCCAAAAACGGTTGGTTTCCTTCTAGTGAGCCAAAGGTGTTAAGACGGACTGTTGTCGAACTTTCTGCGCCGAGTCACATCCCAAATGCAAACAAGAAACTGAAGCGCTTGGCTGTTGTTTCTATTGAAGGCAATGCTTGGTGCAGTGTGGATGACTGATCAATAGCGGCCCATGTTGAGTGGACCCAAAAGAGAAAGCAGTTGAAACAATGTGGCGGTCAAATCTGGTCCCTTTGTTTTGTACTGGTTTAGTATTGGTTTAGTATCGGTCCTCCTCGGTCCTCTCTGTCCACTTTGGTCTGTCTAGTATTGGTACATAGTATTAGTTCCGCTTCTTGTGTGGAAGATATTATGTTGTGTAGAACTGATTAGACTTGGCGAATATTGCCTAGCATGGCGTTCGCATCTTTTGGAATTGGCCAGGCTACTTCCCTTTCTCATTTCAGTACCCTTAAACGGACCATGTAATTGATTATCATCGCCTGTGCTGCAGAAAAAAAAGAGGAACAGTTTGGGAGAACAGGCTTGTTGCTGGGTGTTTGCATTTCGAAGAAGTAGACACCTAATGATTAACACAAGAATGGTTCTACAAAAGACAGGGTCGCGTTTCCTTGGCTGCGCGAAGGGTATGGTGAAGACTTATCAGGGCTCGTTCGTTTTCTTTCTTCGGGAGAAAAGGAGAAATCAACTTTTCTGTATTGATCAAGTTGCAAGCAGGTTGGCTTGGGGCTGAATCCATCTGTTTTTGCTTACCTTTGTGTGAGGTCCCAAAGGCCCCTCCCTGACTCGTTGGAAGCGAATGAAGGTTTCAATTCTGCAAAACTGGGCGGGTCCCAGCCATCCAGTTCCTTCGGTGAGGCGTTTTGGGGTGTAGTGGGGGTTACGCGCTAGCTAAACTTTTAGCAGGGGACCCAAGGCTTAAGGACAGCTGAGAAAAGGTGGTTGACCTTTTGCTTAGGGCACCAGCAACGTGGCTTATGCGGAAGACTCGAACCCTTTGAGGATAGAAACCCACTTGTTTACATCCTGTGGCTAGACCATTGCGGCCAACATGCGGCCAACCACTCAATGTCAATCCTAGCGTGATTTCTGAATCCACAGCGCTGGCAGGAGGCTTTGAATTGATTTGTGTTGTTGTTTTGTGCATGCTGTTTTGCCGATTGTTGTTTTGTTAGAGTGTTCTTGGCTGATCTGTGGTGTGTTGCTTTGTTGTTTTGCTCTGTGTTGTTTGTTGCTTGTGTCTTGACCTGCTTCGTTTGTTTGTTGTTGTTGTTTTGTTCTCACATGCTTTTCATCTGACCTGTTTTCGTTTGCTTCTTTGTTTGTTTGTTTAATTCTTGTTTGGTTGGTTGGTTGGCTGGCTGGTTGTGCTTGGCTGACTGGCTGGCTGGCTGGCTGGCTGGCTGGCAACACTCTTTCGCCGACCTTTCTTCTGTCTGCCCAGCCACAAACGCCCCACCCTTGGACAACCCTTGAAAGGACACATGGCCATGGCTCAACACCCCGTATATGCAGTGAACATCCCAATCCCCATCAATCCCCACTAAACTAGACTAAAATGGGGGGTGCACCTATCCCAAAATGGTACCATTGGTTTTGAACCATGGCCACATCACATGAGCCACAATCAAAACCCGGGTAGATGAAGGTTAGGAAGGGGCAGTCCCAGCCAGAAATAGTTGCGCCCGCCTTGCTGATTCTTTCCAGGGTTCTGGGATTACGACCATTTTAATACCGTGTTTTGATTGTGAGTCACATGGCCGAAACGACTTTGTTGGTACTGTGGACAACCTCCACGCCAGGCACCAATTGGGATGAAGCCCCACTTGAATTCTGTGCCCCGAATCCCAACGGGTGCGAGGCGGACCTTGTCTATCCACAGTGGGGCCTTGCCCCTTTTAGGGAAGCTGACATCAGATGCACCGGCAACTGTACGTGGAGGGGCGCAGGCTTTTGATTGAAGGGATAAGGATAGGACTAGCTTTGGGCTGACCTAGGGTGCTGGAAGCTTTTCGAGTCGTCCAGGAAGGGCTGGCCTTAGTTTGCTTGAGATATGGTCACCGGTGAGCAAATCTTCCATTTGACGGACTTCACTTCCCTTTCCTAGGCCGCTGACGAGGCGGGGAACCCCAGTCGTTTTCTGTTTTTTTGGGGTGGTTTTTCCGGTTAATTCGGAAGACTTTAATCCGGCACTCGGTTTTCGTGCGCTTGGTGTTGCCTTGGCAGTGGTGTTGTTGCTGCCTGGATCCACAAGCAACACTGCTTTGTTCCTGCTTTTGGCTCCCCAACACTTGGCGAAAGGCAGACAGAACCGTTACAAGAAGACACGTTTCTGGTCCAGGCACCTCTGGAACGGGTGGCTTTTGGCAGACGTGGTGACGCCCTGACCGTTTTTGCGTGTGCGCGTGTCCGTATGAAAGAGAGAGAGAGAGAGAGAGAGAGAGAGAGAGAGAGAGGAGGGAGAGAGAGGGAGGGAGGGAGGGAGGGAGGGGAGGGAGGAGGGAGAGGGAGGGGAGGGAGGGAGGAGAGACAGAGACAGAGAAAGCGTAGTGCGAGTGTGAATATGTATATTTTACAGTGAGATCGTGACTGTGATTTTGTCGATGTTGGTGCTTGTGCTCACGCTTGCGTTGTTGTTTACTAGGACAGGAGGTTCGGTCAAAATGGTCAGCAGCCCAGCAGTGACCGTGACTCACATGGGGCCACGGTACATTGAATCGTGTGATGTTGACCCCTCATGAATAAACCAGCTCTGGGGGGCAAGTTACTTGTTGTCATTGCTGCAAAGGTACATCTTATCATTTTTTGCCCCCATTTTGACATACCCAGAACTTTGGTGCATTTTGCTTGGATGTTAGGACTTCAACTTTTTGCCAACTAATGGGTTTCCCATTAAACCACTAAAAGTTAAACTTTTAGCAGGGGAGCAGATTTCGCAACCGAGAGAAGGTATTGTTTGCGCCAAGGTTTCTTGGAATCTTGTGACCCCCGATGGCCCAAATCCCACGGCAGCAACTCCTCAATGGTTCGGACCCCCAACCCCATGCTGTTGTTGGAAGCCATAGGACACTATTAGGATCGAGACCCGTTTTTTCTTTGACAAGCCTTGCAATGGCACGTGGTCAAAACGACTTTGCTGGTACTGTGGTTGGACCAAAAATTCCCACCAGGCACTGGTTGAGATAGATGAAGCCCGATTGGAACTCTCTAAATGGCTGGTCAGAAATAGGTA